AGGCCCCTGGAGCATCACTGGGAGACCCAGGGTTGTGTGTGAGGGGTGGGCCTGTCTGCTGTGGATGGATGCGACTCCTCCCCGTCCCAGGACTGCACAGCTGCTTCCTCAGCAATGGGGGCCCCTCTCCGAGTCCTCAGGGCCAAGGATGCTGGGGTGGCCTCAGCCCAGGGGCCCTGTGGGTGCTCACTCTGTACAGAGTCATGGAGAGATCGAAGCCAGCTGGAGAGGTGGGCTTGTGCCAAGCTTCCCTGCCTGGCGTCCCAGAGCAGGTGTGGATGTCAGCAGCCCTGGGATTTCTGGGGTAACCAGGATGGAGTCAGGACATTTGGTGCCACCAAGCAGCTCTGAGTCCTAAGTCTTTCTAACCAGTTCAGTGGAGGCCAGGTTCAAGTTTCTGCCACCCATGCAGTTGCTTCTGTGCCAACCCTGATGCCCAGTGCCCTGGGGGCCCCAAGTGCCCCAGCTTGTGAGGAGCCCTAGATGCCATATCTGTAAATGGCTTGAGCCCCAGTCCTGATGTGCTGGGAAGCCCCAGGGCCTTCTTTGCAAATGCCCCTGGGGTGGGTACTCAGGGGGCCAGGGTTCCTCCTCATGCCCCTAACGAAGGCTGGCCGTTTCCCACCCCCATCCCCCCATGCTGGGCAGCACCCCAATTCCTTCCCTCCCCAGGGACCAGGTGGAGTCACAGACTGTACTGAAGGTCTGGGGAGCTGGGGCGCCCCTTTCCTTCCCTTCTCTCTTTTTTCCCTTTCTGGGTGCCTCACCCCTCCCCTAAATTGGCTTGAGAAACCCACTTTTTCTTCACTTAATAAAAAGAGCAATTTCCCCTCCCCCTGCCAGCCCCAGGCCTGTCCAGAGGCTGAACACTGGACCCCGAGGCTGCCCCTGGGGCCACCTTGCAGCAGGACAGGACAGGGCAGCGGGCAGGGTGAGATCCAGCAGCCCCTCCCACACCGCACAGCCTGTGTAGGAGTTTGGACTCGAATTTGGAGGGCACACCACTGAGCAGCACCTCGGCAGACATGTCCCTCCAGCAGGCCACCAAGCTTGGGGAGAGGTGGCAGAGGAGGGTTGGTTTTTATCTGTAGGAATTGTGCCGTCTCCCACCTCCCACCCCTTAGAATCCATTTTTGTTTAAATGGCATTTCCCCTTCCTGCTCCTCTTATGAGGGGCTGCAAGACACCTCTGTCACCGCCCAAGCATGGGTCCCAGCAGGCTTTGGGAGAAACTGAGACCGTTTTGGCTTTGGAGCCAGGCACCTCCGGGGTGCCTGTCACAGCGCAGCCGTTGACCCCGTGGGGCAGTCCTTGGGAGCATTTTATAGAAACATGCAGGTCTCCAAGCACATTATTTATAATTCCTCCATAGGACTATTGAAGGTTTCAAAACATCATGAAACTCAGCCCATCCTCCCAGAAGAAGTCCTTGCTCTGTAACCTCACTTGTCCTCACTGCGACCACGAATTTGGGCAGGTCTTCGCTGAGCAGGACCTCGGCAGCAAGTACTTCACCCTGAGTCTGAGCACACTGTCCCGCTCAGCAGCCTCAGGATCACAGGCCTCCCTGGAAAACTGCCAGGAGCGGGGCTCCCTCGACCCAAGGCCCCCTTCCTTCGGGAAGCTGGTTGTGTCCTGGCATGGCCTTTCCTGAGGAGCCTCACATGAACTGGCATCTGCCCCTGGTGTCCTGGTGGGGCCTCTGCCCCATGTGGTCGGAGGGGACCTCTGGCTCCTGTCCCTGCATATGTTTTTATCTCCAGGCCTTTGCCCAAACTCAGTTCAGGTGACATGGGTTGTGGCTCATTTGGGAGCCTCCTTCTCATCTGACTGGATCGGGGGTTCTCAGTCTTCACTCATTTACAGCCCACCTTTGAGGCTGGGACCCACAGGTTCCACTGGCCATGGTCCCCCTACTGGTATGGGGGTGTCCCTCATTTTGCCTGTGTGGCTGGCACAGTTTACCCTTCAACTGTGTGGTCTGCTGTCCAGGACATAAGCCAGCCTCCTCCCTGCCCACGGGTGTCTCCTCCTCCCGCCTTCCCTGCCTCCCAGCACTTGGTGGGAGGTGCCACTGCAGGGGGGTTTGGGGACACATCCCTCAGGTCCAGTCCTTTGAGCGACCCCTGTGGGCCGGGCAGCTGTCCAGCATGAGTGCAAAGGTCAGAGGGGAATGAGGAGGCACCTGGCTCCCCAGACCTCAGCTGCACCCGGATCTGGGAGCCTCTGGCAGCGGCTCAGCCTGATTCATTGGGCAGCAGGCTGCTGTCACATGGTGCTGTTAAGCAGCATCTCTCTTGTCTACACGTATGCATAAATATGCATAAATAACATGCATAAATAACAATAAAAAACCCTCTTACCTTCCTGCTGGACCAACCCATGGCAGGGCTGCTGACTGAGGTCTGTGTGGAGAGGTCTGAACACGGTTATTTCCCTCCCACCTGAGTACCCAGGAAGGGCTGAGGAGCAGAGGGGATGCCATGCTGGCTGATAATGAGGAACTTGCAAATCTGGTGATCAAAGAAAGGGCCAGGTCAGGGCATCAGGGCCTGGATGACCCCCTATTGAGGGTGGATGATGGCTTCACCATTCGGGA